TTGGTCGTGAGCCATGCGACAGATCGGGATCCATGGATCCATTCTACGTCCTTGCTCTTCAGTCTGGGCCTGGTCTCCTGGCATCTGCTTTCTAAATAATAACAAATAAACTAAACTAAACTGAGGAAGCAAGACTGAGAACTGGGTGTTCTGAAAGAAACCCCGAGGAACCTTTTGTCAAGCGTTTGTTGCCCTTGTGGCAGCAGCTGGAAAGTTCTGATATGCTCCTCAGTGATTTTTAAAAATTTGGTGTTTTTTTAAAGCTCAATTTCTGGTCAGTTATCCCAAAGTAAAGGGAACAAAATACACAGACGAGCACGCCCCTTTTTGCCAAAGCCAGTGAGTTTTGCTATTTAAGATGTCTTAGTTTAATGCACTGGGCTGCTTTTTCTTACCCAAGTGTCGCAAGATGGAGTAGCGAGTAAGACCCAGTGATGTTAAACTGTTAACAGTTTTTAGCCAGGAGCAAACATAATTATTAAGCAAAGCTCCTAGAGGTAGGTAGCCTAAATCTCTTGAAATATAGGTGAAAGCCAGTAAGCGCAGATGTTTCCAAGTGCCTGCTTCAAGTTGTAAGACTCACACTGGGGTGAGCAAATGTGTAAACAAATCCAGGACTGAAGCAAGTAAAGTAGCAATATCCGGATGAGCAACGTTATGTGGGCTTTTTCTGCTCTGTTACCTTTGGCTTACCTCTTTTTCACCAATTGTCTTCATTCAGGTGCTATTGGCTAGTATCCATGAGGTAGTTTTGCCTCTTACGAACATTCTACCATAGAGCATGGGTAGGCAACCTAAGGCCCGGGGGCCGGATCTGGCCCAATGGCCTTCTAAATCCGGCCTGCGTGTTTGTACATGAGTAGAATGTGTGCTTTCATTTAAAATGTATCTCTGGGTAATTTGTGGGGCATAGGAATTTGTTCATTCCCCCCCCCAAAAAAAATATATAGTCTGGCCCCCCCACAAGGTCTGAGGGACAGTGGACCAGCCCCCTGCTGAAAAAGTTTGCTGACCCTTGCTCTAGAGTAACCACAAAAAAGAAACTAGGCTATGCAGATCTAGAGGAAGCTTGATTTTTAGTGGCTAGGCCCCAGCCTCTTATTACAATGTCAGCCCTCTTTTATTACTCGCATGTAAGTGAATGCTGCCATTCACTCCTGGGTCAGGGGCAGGGAAAGTGCTGCAGTGAGGATGGATAATGTGGCAGCCACTGAGGGGGATTTCCCACCACACAAACATAAAGAGATCCACATGAGATGAAGGACCCTACCTGTTGTCATGCCAGGCATTTTGCTAGTATCTCAAAATTTTGTTATGAGGTAGATAGTACAAAGTCGGGACGCGGGTGGCGCTGTGGGTAAAAGCCTCAGCGCCCTAGGGCTTGCCGATCAAAAGGTTGGCGGTTCGAATCCCCGCGGCGGGGTGCGCACCCGCTGCTCGGTCCCAGCGCCTGCCAACCTATCAGTTCGAAAGCACCCCCAGGTGCAAGTAGATAAATAGGGACCGCTTACTAGCGGGAAGGTAAACGGCGTTCCGTGTGCTGCGCTGGCTCGCCAGATGCAGCTTTGTCACGCTGGCCACGTGACCCGGAAGTGTCTGCGGACAGCGCTGGCCCCCGGCCTCTTGAGTGAGATGGGCGCACAACCCCAGAGTTTGTCAAGACTGGCCCGTACGGGCAGGGGTACCTTTACCTAGATAGTACAAAGGGTTTCCAACTGCATATCTGTAAGGCTTGTCTCTGGCAAGCAGTTGCACCATAGTGGAGCGAGTTGTTGAGCTTATTTGGCTGCTGATCATATAAAAGAACTCATCTGGTCTCTCCCTCTCCCTCTCTCACACACACAACATGTGTGCGCACACACACATACACAGATACACACTCCCCATCATAAAACACCTTCTTGACTTTCAGACTCTCTGTGTCCTTGAATTCTGTGCTCTTCCGCTCTAGTTAATCCAGATGTGGTCATTCCTCCCCTTCTCCCTGTTTCCTCTCCCGCCTCCTCTCTCCGTAACCAGATCCTTATCTCTCTCTTGCAGAGCATGTCACTAACTGAGAACAGAATTCAAACTTGCGGATTAACTATTGGCTCCCTTTTGCCTCAACATCCTTTAGGCTTGCAGCACGAAAGGCAAGCTTGGCCTAGTCCCGATTTTTTGTTGGAAAGCTGTTTGCCTTAGCTTCTGCTCCGGTTCTGATAGATCACTGTATTTGGCAAGGATTTTTTCCTCTGCAGGTAGCTTCTGAGCAGGGAAGGTCATCTGCTGCAATTCTGTTCCGATTGGAGGACACATACTGCTACCACATCCCTGAAAGGTGGCTATTCTGGTCAAATCCACACCATACAGTAAAAGAATATGACTTCCCCAAAAGAATCTTGGGAAATGTAGTTTGGGAGTTGCAGCTCTGCACAGGTAAGCTACAGATCCTAGGAGTCTCTGGAAGAAGCCAAATGCTTACATTGTGTGGTGTGGATGTGACCCCAGCCTCTGCTTTAAAACCTCTTCAAAGGAAGAGCCTGATGCTTTTGGAGACAAGTCCGTCCCACTGTTGTACAACGTCATACTGTCAGGACATTCTTCTTCATGTTTAGTCTAAACTCTTTTTCTTAGAATTTGAACCTGTGCCTCCATGGACAGCTGTGAGTCCAAAATGACTCCCAGGCTGCACACCTGGTCCTTCAGGGGCACAGTTACCCCATTCAGGACCAGGGAGTCCTCCACACCTGCCTGCCCCCTGTCCCCCCAAAACAGTACTTTTGTCTTGTCAGGATTCTCCCTCAATCTGTTAGCCGCCATCCATCCTCCAACCGCCTCCAGGCACTCACACAGGACATTCACCGCCTTCACTGGTTCTAATTTAAAAGAGAGGTAGAGCTGTGTGTTATCTGCATACTGATGAACACCCAGCCCAAACCCCCTGATGATCTCTCCTAGCGGCTTCATATAGATCAGGGGTCAGCAAACTTTTTCAGCAGGGGGCCGGTCCACTGTCCCTCAGACCTTGTGGGGGCATGGACTATATTTTTTTTGGGGGGGAGAACAAATTCCTATGCCGCACAAATAACCCAGAAGTGCATTTTAAATAAAAGCACACTTTCTACTCATGTAAAAACATGCTGATTCCCGGGCCATCCAAGGGTTGGATTTAGAAGGTGATTGGGCCGGATCCGGCCCCCGGGCCTTAGTTTGCCTACCCATGATATAGATAGAAAGCATGGGGGAGAGGATGGAACCCTGAGGCACCCCATAGGTTAGAGCCCAGGGTTCTGAACACTCATCCCCCAACACCACTTTCTGGACATGGCCCAGGAGGAAGGAGTGGAACCACTGTATAACATATTGTACAGTACTGTACATATTTGAAGATGGCTTTGATATACGTGTGCCCCTTTATCATCAGTCCTCAGGACTAAACAGGACTAAACATTCCCAACGCCTTCAGGCTTTCCTCAGAGGACTTGGTCTCCAGGTTGCCTGCTGATGGCTGCTCAGAAACTGATGACAGAGGCTCTTACCTGATAGGGAGGAAGAGCTCTTGAGGCAGCACTGGAGGTACAGACTCAGCAGCACAGACTCACAGTAGCCTTTACACACAGACGAGGTGATGGAAAAGGTGAGACCAATCAGGCTGGAGGCAACAGGCCAGCCTTGCAGAGTCCTAGATCAGGGCAAGGAGTTTAGAACTGCGTGGAACCAACAGAGTTGTCCCAATTCCCACAAGTCAAGCTTTGAGAGGTGGGGCAAGGCAAGCTTGCTTGCAAGACCCTTGTGCCTTGCGAGACTGCTGAGCCTGCAGCCGCTCACTGTGTCAGGGGTGATGGTCTGTTCCTGGCAACAAGAGTACCACCCTCCCCTTCTGACCTTGGTTCTTCCAGCCCTCATGGTTGATTGACACCCTCCCTGGATTCCACTGCCGTGCTCCTCTTCCTTGGGATGGAAGAGGCGAGGTGGGAGTCCTGCTTACCCATACAGAGCAGTTATATCCTGGAAAAAGGTATCAGCCTCTTCCTTTACTCAGAGTGAGGTATGGGCGGGTGATAGAATCATAGAATTGTAGAGTTGGAAGCAACCACGAGCGTCCTCTAGTCCAACCCACAGCAATGCAAGAATCCTGTCCACAGTCATCCCTGGGTGAGCTCAAACCACCAGCCTTCTGGCTAACAGTCAGACACACTGACTCATTGTGCCACCTGCTCTGAAGAACTGGGTAGGTAAGCGATGGCACCAGCACAGCTGCATCTGGGCACAGGGGCTGGCAAGGCAAGCAAGTGGCCCTTTTTGCTGCCACATTGTACTGCTGCCTCATGTTTAGCTTGTGATCTACTGACACGTCTACTGCTGTTCTTCCTACCTAAATGCAAAAAATGCAAGTTCTCTGTTCTCTCAGTATCATCTTGGATCCTGTTTCTGTTGGCTTAAGATATCAGCAACTCAGTAACTCCTCTGCTCCTCTAGTCAGTCATTTCTAGAGCTGCTTTGCAGCATCAGGCCCAGGACAGAACCATGGGGCACCACATGTTCAGGTTGACAAGAAGCTGCTGGTAAGTACTTTTTAGGTGCAGTCAATCAGCCAGCTGCAAATCCACCGAACTGTACCAATATCTAGCTTGCATTTTACCAGCTTCCCAACAGAAATATCACAATGTGCACATGGACACCTGGAAGGTGGTTGGCAGATGGAGGTGGAGCAGGTGCAGAAGGCTGCTCTTGGGATTGGTCTAGATCAGGGGTAGCCAGTGTAATGCCTCCAGGTGTCTTTGGACTCTGGCTCCCTTAATCCTCAGCCATCATGACCAACGGTCAGGGGTGAGACGAATTGTTATACAAAATCATGTACAGAGATACAGATTATCCATCTCTGATCCCTGAACTGATTGCTTGCTTTGAAAACAGACTGTGGGGTGCATCTGTAGGGTCACGGTTTCCCTATCCCTGGCATAGGATTCCTGACATAACAGTAGCCGTTCTTAACTGCAGTGCTTTGTGTTTCCACGCAGGCTGATCTCTTCCCGGCCCAGCCTCCTCAACGCAACTAATGACACCCGGCTCAGCTCCTCGCCTCAGAAGCCGCTGGACTTGAAACAGCTGAAGCAAAGAGCTGCTGCCATCCCGCCCATTGTGAGTAGTGGCTCCCAAACCAGCTCCAGCACCTTCCTCAAAACATGTTGCTCCCGCTGTGTTTAAACCCAGGGATTTGAGGAGAGGGTGACCCCTGCAAGACTGTGCTTGGTAGGAATAATTTGCATGGACCATTCAGCTCCCCCAAGTGACAATGAGTTAGCCCCAAGGCTGAAGGGCACCTGCCATTTGCTGTGCTTTTAGTCAGGCAATCAGCAGGTTTTATCACACAGTTCAGAGCTGGGGAACCTCAGGCCGAGGAGCTGGCTCTGACCCTCCAAGTCTCTCCGTTATGGCTCTTGAACGCTTATTTTTTAATGTAAGACATTTATATACAGTGGTACCTCAGGTTACATACGCTTCAGGTTACAGACTCCGCTAACCCAGAAATAGTGCTTCAGGTTAAGAACTTTGCTTCAGGATGAGAACAGGTGGCGCAGCGGCAGCAGGAGGCCCCATTAGCTAAAGTGGTGCTTCAGGTTAAGAACAGTTTCAGGTTAAGAACAGGCCTCTGGAACAAATTAAGTACTTAACCTGAGGTACCACTGTATAGCTTAATCATTCCTATTTCTAAGTGGCATACATAAAATCAAACCACAGAAAATAGGACAATAAAAAATAAATATTTTTCATAGAACCAAATACTACCTCAAAATGTTTGCTGGAACAAGAAAGTCCTAGTCATGTACCTGAAGTTCAGCAAAAAGGATGCCCGTCTCATCTCAGTTTGGCTCATTCCATAGGCTTCAGCCTGCTACAGTTAATGCACATCTCCTAGCAGTTACGAGACGTGCATCTGAGCCACGGGGGACCACTAGCAGAGACTACCCCAGAGATAGCAGGGATCAGGTTGGGATATAAGGGACCAGGAGGTCCTTGATATCCTGGACCCAAGTTGTTTACAAGGGCATTGGAAATTAATATGAGACTCTTGAACTTACAGTAACTCAGTAGCATATGGCATCCAATGCAAGCTTTTAAACAGTGATGTTCTGTGCTGGTGGTAGTCTGCCCCTACCAACAGTGCAGTTACAGCATTTTGCACCAGCTGAATCAGGCACACACAGATGCAGAAATCAAGTCTTGCAGGGTGCCGATCTTTCCCTGCCCCAGCCCTTCACTTAACTATGCCAATGCCTCTTGTTTGACGAGATGGGGAGAGACAAGTGTAGTTCTAAACCTCTGACATTTGCATGGCTGGAATGTCGCCCGCTGTAGAAAGGTAAGAGTCATATTCATTGCCCTGGCCACTTTTGCCTCTGGCCCTGCTCACCCCAGCATGTGGCTCCCAGAGGGAAATGAGGCCCTTGGTTTAAAAATGATTCCCATGCTGTTCCAGTTTCTCTTTCCTGTTCCCCAGAAGGAGGGAAAAGTCAGGGGCTCAGTGAGGATGAACTGGCTTTTTAAAACCTCTCTGCAGAAGTGTGGCATTCATTCATACCCCATGGAGTGTGCATGCATGTGTGTGTTTGTACACACCAGCTGCAGATGGCATGATTCATCCACTTTTTCCCTTCTTCCCTTCCCTGCAGATTTCAGAAGGTTTACAGGAGGGAGTGCTGCAGAGCGGAAGCCTGAAGTCTCAGGTGCCTCATCACGCTTTGGCCCTTTACCAGCAGCAAATCACCATGGTCCACGAATCTGCCCACGAGGACTCTGCACAGAGTAAGCAGCTGCAGCTGCAGCAAGCTGAAAAGGAGCCCCCGCTGAGCAGCAGTCCCAGGGCCCAGAGCAGGAGCCCAGCTGTGGTTGATAAAGAAGGTGTGTGGGTGTTTGGGGTCCGGGGAGGCAGTGGTCACAGAAGTGCAGGGGAGGGTGGAGATTAGCCCCCCATGCCAACCTCATGGGCTCTTTGGAAGCTTTCTCTGCCTCCCTTTTTCTCTGTCTCTCTCTCCACAGAGTCAGGCAGGCATGGCTAATTAGAGGGAACATCGTGTCTCACTCTGCCCTGATCAAATGCCAAGAGGCGGGAGATCCCTCTTATTAATGTCCCCGGCTGTTGCGTTTGGAAGCGGGGCAAGGAGACCTGGAGCAGGGCCAGGGCTGTGGGGTGAGCTACTCCCCACTGCCTTCAGAAGGCTTTTAGCGTTCAGCTGGAGACATTATTTCTTGGAGAATCAATGCTAATGCCCTGACTGGAAGGGCAAGGCTTCCTGTAAAAGATTCTCTGCTGCATTCACGGTGGAAATGGCTAGGGCACCTAATGGGCAGTTTGTAGCTTTCTTCCCTTCTCTGTGCCTCCCTGGTATTGATTGGCAAAACACTTGAGGAGGCACTGCCATTGGTCACCTCATAATGCATGTCTAAGAATCCTTCCGCTGCTGGGTGGCTCCCTTCTGTGCTAAGAGAGAGTGGAGCTTACTGGGCCTCTGCCTTTTTGCATACGGACATTGCCTTATACTGAGTCAGACCATTGCTGCCTCTAGATCAGCATTGCCTACACTGACCGGCAGCAGCTCTCCAAGATCTCCAATTCTGTTTGGAGATGCCAAGGATTGAACCTTCTGCATTCAAAGTGGATGTTCCACCCCTGAGCTATGATATATTATCTTTAGGGACACAATCATGTTGCGGGGGGGGGGGGGAAATGTGAGTAGCAGAGGAAGTCCTTGTCAGTAGGCACTCCATCCTGCCATGTGAAGTGTTTACTTATGAGAAGATTCGCCAGCAGGGAGGCCTCCAGCTTGCACATGAAGCTGCCCTATACTGAGTTGGACCGCTTGCCAGTCTGCCACTTTCCAAGGCTGATTTATTTAAATAATTTTTTATCCAGTTCTGCAGTAAGAAAAATAAAACTAATAAAACTTAGTCACAAGGTGGAAAGAGACAGAAGAGCCAAAAACTGCTGGTCTCTGAGCCGCAGCAGTGGAGTTGGCCCAGCCCCCCTCGGCTGAGAAATCTCAAGCAAAAGTCTTTGCATGCCCTTTAAAGTGGAGGTGCTGAGGTTTGCAGCTGAGTCCTCCTCCACGCAGGCCAGGTGCTCTTCTTGCTGAACCTGCTCTGCAGGGAGATGGGCCGCATTCCTTGGGGTGTCTAACTGGGACGGAGTGTAGCTCCCTGGCAGAGCTTCTGCTTTGCATGCAGAAGGTCCCAGGTTCAATTACCAGCATCTCCAGGTAGGGCAGGGAGAGAACCCACCTGAAGCCCTGGAGAAGTCAGTGTAAACAATGCTGAGCCAGCTGGACTAACGGTCTGGCTGGGTCTTGGTTGGCCATGTTTCCTAGGTCTGTTGAGACATAATATCTGGGGAAGTGAGACCCATTTTAAATGAAGAACTTTCAACACAAGAAAACTCAGGAAAGGAGCACTAACAGGGGACTCCACCCAAGATGTCATGCAAACTGCACTTACTTACCTGGTGCAAACACATTCTACTAGCCAGGACTTTCTCACCCTGCTCATGTCCTTGACCCTTACCTGGTGCTGTTCCTTGCATTTGACCTCAACCAGTATGTCATTAGTTCTTTTATCCCTCTAGTAGAATTGAAGAGTTGGAAGAGACTCTGATTGTCATCTAGACCAATCCCCTGGAATGCAGGAATCTCAACTGATTCCAGATAATGCAGGGACAGACAGATGCGATGAGACACAAAAGCAAGACAAATGCCATATACTAAATCAGCAAGTGCAGTCCTGTTTAGTTTTACATGGTCTCTCCCCCCGCCAATTTTCTTGTTCTCATTCCCTTCTTAAAGAATTTAGAATACCCTTTTTCTGGCGGGGAGGGAATTGCATACGGAGAATGACGTTCCTTAGACCAGAGCTGTAAGGTAATGAGATGCGTCATCCTTACACAGGAGGGCACATGCTGTCTTGGCAAAGGGACTGTACTTTCAGGCAATGGGAGTTCATTGTTTCATTTCTCCCAGGTTGGATGGGAGGATTTCGCCCCCCAAAAAAGTCAAATATGGTGGCGGGAGGAGGGATCTCTTCCACTCCCACCCATGAAGAACAGAGCCAGCTAAACTGCTTTTTTTTACTGCTCTGGAGGCCCAAACATCCAGAGCGGCTTTGTTGGCCAGGCTTTTAAGAGTGCACCGTCACGACCTGAGTGAGGGGTTCCCTGTCCTGCAGGTCTTTTGGCTGAACCATTGTCAGCTAGGAGCTGCTCTAGCCAAAGCATTTGCACACACACTGCCGCCGCCGCCTCCTCCTCCTCCTCTGGCATGAAGGCCTTTTTCTGGTTTGGCGGACGGGAGCGCTGCCCATTTGGCTCTCATTTCTCCCTCAGATGGTTCCCGTTTTTTTCCTCTCCCTGCGTTTTGCTTTTTGTTTTTGTATGGAGAAGCCAAGCAGAGGAGGCGAGAGCAAGGGGTTGGAGGGGAGGGAAGAGGAAGAGTGTGCGAATGTGGGGTTGTTGCCTTTTTCTTTCCTTTTCTCTTGGCAGCTTTGGAGCTAGCAATATGTTTCCTATTGATTTAGCCACCCTTTTTAGCTTGGCCTTTTGAGGGCCAGTTGAAAGCCAAGAGCATGCATTTGGATGACGGATAGTATAAACGATGTCTCTCTTGCTCCAATTTCCAGGGCCTTGATAAACGGTAATAGTAACTCTCTTTCTGGGGATAAGAGCTGCTCTATCAAAAAGACCCTGAGTTATAGCCCCCCTTTAATATAGGTTGCAGCATGGCAGGAGGAGGTCAAAATAAAGCATTCGTACTTTAGACTTCAAAGCGTTTCCACCCTCAGCTGGGGGTGGAATAGCTTTCCAGATATGCGCAGCACACGTCTTTCCTTTGCATGAGGCTGAAGATCCATTGCAAATAACGTATGTTGGATGTTGCAGCCAGTGGACTTATACCAGGATCCAGCACTTTTTCTGGGCCTCTGCCGTTTCCCATTAGGAATTTCCCTTGCCATTTCCACCTATTGCGCCAGACACTCAGTGATAGAAATAAAAGCACATGTTGTCCCAGCTCCCGCACAGGCTTCCCGACTTCCGCTGCTTTGGGAGAAACAGCAGCAGCACTCTATGCCGAGCGATCTAAAGCTCAGTAGCTGAGCTGGCTCTTAGGGGGAAAAAGGAGGCTGGCCTACCTTGAGTCAGCCCAGCCTGCCATCTTGCTCAGCATTGTCTAGACCAGTGTTTCCCAAACATTTTTGGGCAACGGCACACCTGTTTACTGAAAAAAAATCTCGCGGCACACCACCATTAAAGCCCCGCCCCGTGACGTCAGCGCGCAGCGTCACGCCGGGAGGGACGCACAAAAGTGAAAGTTTTTTCCCTCCCCCTTGCTGGGGAACCTCCAAGCTTTGGGGTGGGAGGAGGCAGCAGAGCGAGGGACTGAGGGACGGCGGCAACTGAGGCGGCGGCGGCTGAGGCAGAGCTGGGAAGGGGGTTTCCAGGGGACACGGCAGCTCCTCGAAAGGCTTCTCTCAGCTGCGCTCAATCCGCCTCGGAGAGGATTTCCCCTCCGGTCCCATGCGTTCGTTTGGGGCATCGCTCCGGCTGCTCCCTCTCCCGCCGCGCAGGAGCGATGCCTCTCTCTGGCTCTCCCTCCGCGCAGGCTGAGGGAGGGAGGGAGGGGCGCGTGTGACCCGTCTCTGCTGGGAGACCAAACCCAGCGAGGCAGAGTCGCGCGGAGGCGCCCAGGCAGCGCTGCCGGCTGCGAGGAGGAGCGCCAGGCAGCAGCAGGAGGCGCGGCCTCTCCTCGCCGCCGCCGCCCCGCCTCTCGCCGCCCGACTCGCCCGCCTCCCTCCAGGCATCTCGCGGCACACGAGGCAACGTCTCAGGGCACACTCGTGTGCCGCGGAACACCGGTTGGGAAACACTGGTCTAGACCAGCCTTTCTCAACCTTGGATCCACAGCTGTCGTTGGACTACAACTTCCACCATCCCTTGTGAGAAGGGCCAGCCGTCAGGGATGATGGGAATTGTAGTCCAACATCAGCTGGGGACCCAAGGTTGGAAAGGCAGGTCTACTCCCGGGTTTCAGGAAGGGAATATTCCCAGCCCGACCTGCAGATGCTCTGCCACTGAGCTACAGCCCTTCTCATGGAAGAGGTTCCAGGTTCAGCTCCCAACATCTCCATCTGAAAGAATCTTGGGCTGCAAGGCTGGGAAGGAGAGGTCTCTGCCTGAGAACATGGAGCAGCCTTTGTCAACCTGCTGCCCTTCAGATGTTGTCTGACTCCAACTCCCATCATCCCTGGGGGCACCCTATTGGAGAAGGCTGCCCTGGAGAGCCACTTCCAATATGTTCTGGGCTAAGTGGACCAGTGGTCTGACATAGACTCCTCCAGACAACCCGTTCATTAAGCCTTCATCCTAATTTGCTTGCACAATGCTTACACAGAATTTAGGCGCCATCCAGTCTTCATTGAGCTTTTCTTATTATTTATTTACAAAGCTGTCATAAAACAAAAGAGTGGTCCACCCCAATCGGCCTGCAGGATGTTTAAAGTGGATTTGTTGCACTAGGGGCAACAGAATGCTTCTTAATTGGTTTTAATTGCAAACCTAAAGTCCCAATATGTCGGTGTGATTGAATCCCTCCCACAAAGTATTGACAGTTTGGAGACACCCATAGTGCAGGGCATTGTTTCTCAAACTTGGGTCCCCAGCTGTTGTTGGACTACAACTCCCATCACCCCTGACCCCGGGTCCTGCTAGCTAGGGATGAAACATCCAATCACTGGTTGTGGGGCCCTTGCTGCCCCTGCACATGGCACTCCCCCCTCACTCTCCCTTGCCTGACAATCTCAGGATTCACCCCACTGCATGTGGAGCTCTTCGTGGGCTATAAAGTGCTGTAGAAATGCCAAGAGTTGTCTCCAACTAAGTTCTACTCAGAGCAGACCTAGTATAATTAATGGACCCAAGTTATTCATGTTCATTCATTTCAATGGGTTTACTGAGTAGGAACAACATGGGCTGCAACCCTAAATATTTTGCTTGGATTACAGAAGGTGGAGACAAACACAGGCTTGCTAAATTAAAAAGAAAACTATTCAAAACAAGTGTTAAATAAATGCCAACTGTTTCTTTGAAGAACAGCGGTGGCCCCGCACTCACCCTATTCATGGGGCCATAGCCGAGCTTTTGTACAAATCTTTTTTTGGCGTATTGCTTCCCCATTTTGTCAAGGTACCTCCGCCTTGCTAGCTGTGGGGCAGCCGCCTTCCCTTTGTGGCAAAGGCCCTCCAAAGGGCTGCGATTCCTGCACCCGGGTTCCGTGCGTAGCCTTGGCTGTCCCTGTGGGAGAGTCAAAGAGAGTGCAGTGAGGGGAGAGTTGAAGTCTGGGAGGAGCACAGAGAATTACCAAGGGAAATATGCACAAGCCGTTGAAGAGCCAGAGGCCTCCAAGCCTCACCCTTTGATGCTGACGTGTCTCCCATCTGCTTCATGCCATCCTTTGAAGGTGCAGATAAAAACCATGTTTCACATCTTAAATCATGAAAGCCAGAAAGTGGGGGGTGGCGGCATGGATGCAATTTAGTCTCCTGGTTCTCAAAAGTATGAGGTAGGCTTTCCAGGGAGAAGCGTGAGGAGCTATTCCTATATAACACACAGGCATTTCAGGACAGTAAACCCCATGGCTTTGCATCTCCCCTCCCAGCAGAACATGGTGAGGCTTGGCAGGGAGAATTTTCCATGCCCATTCCATCCATTGTCTGTCCGGACATTGGTGTCGCATCAAAGCATTGGGGTGTGTGTGTGTGTTTCACATAGACCTCCCTCTTGGCTCTTTCCAGGGTCGAAGCCCTGGCACTGTGAGGGCCCACGCAGAGGCCCTAGGCTGCCCCCTCAAAAAAGTCCTTGGTTGAACAGGTCATTTTCAGTCCCTCAGTATCCCTCTCACCTCTGGCGTAACTCCAAACAGTCCCCATCTGCATTACTAGCAGTTTGAGCAAGTGAAAGCAGACTTTAGAGTCACACAAGTCCCTTCGTACGAGTTTTCACAGGGACAGTGGATGCTGCTCCTTTTTTATTGGGCTTTTGCTTTTCTCGAGGGACCTGCCTCCGTAGACATAAAGTGCTGTGAAGGTCTTGGCAATCCTCATCTCTCCATTGGTCTCAGATATTAGTTGTGCTTGGAAGGACCTTAAGGGCATTTATTTGTTGGCTTCTGGGCCTCTCAGTAAAGTTGTTTTTACATAACTAAAGGCAAACAGATAATTTGTTCACTCATTCCTTTTGGGGACGGCCATAGCTCAGTAGTAAAGCACCTGTTTTGCATGCAGAAGGTCCCAGATTCAATCCCTGGCATCTCCAGGTAGGTCTGGGAGGGACCCTGGCCTGAAACTCTCTGGGCCAGGTAGGCTGGGGTGGGCCAAATGCAGCTCCTCGGGCTTCTCTCTGGCCCTGCATCCTCTCCCCAAGCCGGTCCCCTTCTCCCAAGGCCATGCCTCACGCTGCCCTGCTCTTCACCCTCCTTGCAATCTTCTTGCCTGGCTGGAGTGTGTTCTTCTGTGGCAATGCCTTTTGCTTGCCTGGAGAGAGGATGGAGAGGCTCGACAGCTGGAATGTAGCCTACTGCACAAAGGGAAAAGTCACGTCCATTGCTCTGCCCATGTCTGCCATTGGCATATGCCCCCCACCCCGGTGATGACAAGGGAATGTGACCATCGAGTCGAAAAAGGTCCCCACACACCCCAATGTAGGCAAGAGTGAGCTAGATGGCACAATGTTCTGACCTGGAAAAAAGCAACTTCGTTTATTTATTTTTAACTCAATGGTTTATAGTCCCTGCTTAAGTGCAAACACCCATCAGGGTGGGCTAGCAGTAACAGCAGAGACAAATAAATCCAGAATGAAACAAATAAAGGCAACAGATTTAAAAGCAGAGCAGCAGATAGAATCAGCTTTGGGTAACGTTTAATCAGGCTTGTTCTTAAACAGTTGTGTACTGTGTATGTAGGAGGAGTACATTCCTGACAGGAGAACCATGTTCAGCCCAGCCATGCTGTCTTGTGGTCCTTGCCTGTGTGGTGGGCAGAGGCCTGATGAAGCAGCCCTTGCAGAGGGAACAGGAAGCTGCTGACCTCCAGGTGCTGTTGGACTCGCAGCTCCTAGCGCCCCTGATTTGGCCATGCTGGCTGGCAGGGCGCTGGAGCCCAACAGCTGGGTCCCATGTCCTCTGCCCCCCGCCCCAGTGCTTGGAAGGAACAGGTTCAGTTTAATTGCGTTCACTGAATTAGTTCAAAAACATCCAAGCTGCACCCGAGAGTAGTTTTCATTATCGCCTGGCAAACTGAATGTGAATTAAGTTTGGTTTGGGGTAGAACTTTGAACAGTTTCTCATTTGTCTTCATTCTCTTAAATGTGCTTTTTGGTCTTTAGCGTCTTTGGGCCTTTAAGGCTAAGAATCGTAATTGTTGGAGAAAATAAATTAAACTTCCACTCTGTGTGTGTGTGCTTTGATGTACTCTGAGCCTTCTTAAGTACATTGTATACTTCAGCACAGTAGCTTTTAACATTCTGAATGCTGGGGGGGGGGGAGAGAATAATTTGCATGAACTTGAACTGAACTGTGAACTGAACAAGTTAGTTTTGCAACTAGTTTGGGTTTGTTTGTCTTTTTGTAAACTGCTTTGAGAGCCCCTTTGGCTTAAATAGGGACAAGGTATAAATGACTCAAATAAATAAATAAAGTTTCTGATGAGGGTACATCAGAGATTGGTTGCCACCATAAGATAAGACCCTTTCCTACCCGCTCTTCCTCCGCAAGGTGTCCTTCAGATTGTAGCATACGAGAGTTGCCTATTGTTGTTATTCTCCCCGCCCCCACTGAGCTTTTCGTAACTCAAAACTCTTCAGACCATCCCACAAAGGTTTTACAAGATTGGTTAGATTGAGAGAGAATAATTAGCTGCAGTTCATATGTACTTGTGTGAAACTTGATTTCTTTGAATTGTGATTGATAGCTGCATATATGCTCAGGTCCCACTGCAAAGCACTGCGTTTCAAGCGATGCAGGATAGCAATACGAACGGCTCTCTCTTTGCTGCTACATATGCAGTGGCCCTTCTGCGCCTGGAAGTTGTTGCTTGATTTTGCAGAGATCACTTGACCAGTGTGTGTGTGTGTGTGTGTGTGTGTGTGTTTGTGAATGAGCCTGATTGGCCGCACAAGGTCACTCAATGAGCATCATGGCTGAATGAGGATTTGCATATGGTTGTTCTGCGGCCAAACCCAGTGTTTTGTCTACTTGGAGTTCCTTTCTGACTGCTGATTGGCTGTCCCTTTGTTTTCTCTTGCAGAGAAACCAGTGCATTTCACCTCCCTCCCGGAGGGGCCAAAGCTGGTTGGAGAGCCCTCCATCACAACCTGCTGGCCTCCGGTGCTTCCCTACCAAGGTTCAAGGGATCTGATCCGAACCTCTCCACACACTGAGCCTCACGTGTTTCAGTATAATCCTCCAGGTGAGAGAGGTTCAATCAGGTTTGCGTTGCGTTGTTGTTAAATTTGTATACTATCATGTACTGGCTGGATGCAGAGGAATGGTGGGAGGCAGCAGCTAGAGAACCCCCAAGGAAGGAAGGCTCAGAGCCTGGGGATTAGTGGGCAGTGAGTGGTCCCAGGGAGAAGAGGGAGAAGACTGTGGCAGGGGGTGGGGGTGGGAGAGAGGTGTCAGAAGCTTAGGGAGCTGGGAGGGTCTGTGTCAGAGAGTAGCCAAGAATCAGAGGCAGAAGCTGAAACACGACTGTGGGATGAGGGAGTCAGGCTGGTGAAGATGCACGGGTTTCTTCCCCTCCTGCTGCAAGAGAGAGGCATGAAGCAGGAGGAGCAAAGGCAGACATGCAGGCCCAGTCTCAGATTGCTTAGGAAAACCCTGGAGATGAGGAAACTTAGGCAGCTGTGGGAAGGCAGGGACCTTCAGTCTCCACAAGTGCTTCATAGGGGCAAGACCTGCCAGAGAAGAATTGCTGTGCTCATTAGGCCTGACAGCTCTGAGCGCATCCTGATTTCTTCTAACAGAGAGTTAACTTCACTTACTCTGAGTGATTTATTGCTGGCTCGCTCCTGACATATACTGCCCTTCATCCATAGATCTCAGGGCAGTTCACACCATAAAAACACAAGATAAAAAAGACATAATAAGAACAAGAATAAAAACCAGTAACCTCCTCAGACAGAACATTTTAAAGGCTGACTGACCGAACCCAAAGGGTGCTCATCAATGGTTCCTCTTCATCCTGGAGAAGAGTGACTAGTGGGGTGCCACAGGGTTCTGTCTTGAGCCCGGTCTTATTCAACATCTTTATCAACGACTTGGATGATGGACTCAAGGGCATCCTGATCAAATTTGCAGATGACACCAAACTGGGAGGGGTGGCTAACACCCCAGAGGACAGGATCACACTTCAAAACGACCTTGACAGATTAGAGAACTGGGCCAAAACAAACAAGATGAACTTTAACAGGGAGAAATGTAAAGTATTGCACTTGGGCAAAAAAATGAGAGGCACAAATACAAGATGGGTGACACCTGGCTTGAGAGCAGTACATGTGAAAAGGATCTAGGAGTCTTGGTTGACCACAAACTTGACATGAGCCAACAGTGTGACGCGGCAGCTAAAAAAGCCAATGCAATTCTGGGCTGCATCAATAGGAGTATAGCATCTAGATCAAGGGAAGTAATAGTGCCACTGTATTCTGCTCTGGTCAGACCTCACCTGGAGTACTGTGTCCAGTTCTGGGCACCACAGTTCAAGAAGGACACTGACAAACTGGAACGTGTCCAGAGGAGGGCAACCAAAATGGTCAAAGGCCTGGAAACGATGCCTTATGAGGAACGGCTAAGGGAGCTGGGCATGTGTAGCCTGGAGAAGAGGAGGTTAAGGGGTGATATGATAGCCATGTTCAAATATATAAAAGGATGTCACATAGAGGAGGGAGAAAGGTTGTTTTCTGCTGCTCCAGAGAAGCGGACACGGAGCAATGGATCCAAACTACAAGAAAGAAGATTCCACCTAAACATTAGGAGGAACTTCCTGACAGTAAGAGCTGTTCGACAGTGGAATTTGCTGCCAAGGAGTGTGGTGGAGTCTCCTTCTTTGGAGGTCTTTAAGCAGAGGCTTGACAACCATATGTCAGGAGTGCTCTGATGGTGTTTCCTGCTTGGCAGGGGGTTGGACTCGATGGCCCTTGTGGTCTCTTCCAACTCTATGATTCTATGATTCTATTCTAAGGGTATTGGGTTATTGCTGTGATCCAAGGATCACAGGACACTTTATAAAAACACAAACATTTATAACATAACAACAAACAAAATAATTACACCCCCCCACACACATGCAGTTTAAAAGTCATGGATTATTTAGTTAGCCAAAGGCCTGGGAGAAGAGGAATGTTTTTTGCCTGACACCTAAAGGTATATAATGAAGGTACCAAGTGGGGAGAGCATTCCACAAGTGGTGAGCCACCACAGAAAAGGCTTGTTCTTGTGTTGTCATCCTCCGGACCTCTTGCAGAGGAGGCACACAAAGAAGAGCCTCAGATGTTGGTTCATATGGGGAGAGGGGTCCTTGAGGCCCTTGCACTCTGAAGTGGGCTTGCTTTGCTGGTGTGAACAACCTGATGCAGGTAGCAGTTGCCACCATGAGCCCCCTTGGAAAGGAGTTTTCATAATCTGTTGCTTATGAGCTTTCCATGAGAGACATTCTGTCCCACCGTTCTTGGAAACTCAGTGCTCGTAGACACGAGGCCCCATGGCGGCAGCACTAGGAACTTGGGAAGCTGCCTTGTACCAGGTCAGACCATTAATCTGTCTAGTACAGTATTGTCTACAATGACTCTCACTGCAGTTGCCCCTTATGGGGATCAAACCTGCAACTGTGGCGTTATCAGCACCACACTCTAACCAGCTGAGCTAGCATTATCACACATACAGACACCCCCCCCACAACTGGAAGCTTGAGACAACAAGTGAAGCAGTCTTTCTTTAAAAATAAAATTCGAAAGTATAAATGCCTCTTGCTCTTTTCCTTGCTTATTTATTTATTTATTTTTGTATGCAGGTCACTCAATCTCCTTAAACATGCATGAAGGTTCTCGGCCGGGCTTCCAGAGATTGTCCGCCATCTCCAACCCTCCCCCTCTCATCTCTACCAAGCATCCTTCTGTTCTTGAAAGGCCCCTTGGCTCTATTTCCCAGGTAAAGGCTCAGGTGTCAGGGCATGTGGAAGACATTCCTTTTGCTAGGCAGGTCCTTTCATGGCAGCTCTGATCTTTATAGATTCTCCCAGACAAAGAGTATCAGCAGGGGAGGGGTGGTGGTGTAAGAGACTAAGTGTCATCTGTGAAACAGACAGTGAGGAAAGCAACAGGGATGGGAAGGAGGGAGAGACCAAGGGAGGCTAGCATGAATCTGGACAGACATTGTTGCCATGTATTTACATCCTTGGTTGCATTTAGGAATATGGATTAAAAGTAAAAGTGGGGGCGGTTTTCCCCCACATTGTGCTTCCCAGACCAACACTTGTCCATGAGGTTCCTTTAGGAGGTCTGCAGTGTGTCTGTCAATTTGTGACGGAAAACAAGAAGCAGCACATTCATTAAACATTCTCATTGATCTTTAATTGTGTGTTTTCTACTTCTTTTATTGTTTAGATTGCATTTTATTGTACTGCAGTTTGAATCCTGCAGAATGCAATCACATTTCCCGCTTTTCCCAGGCAGAGGTCTGTGCTATTAATGCTCCATGTCCAGGCGTTTTTATTCTGTTTTGGGTTTTTTGCACCAAGGGTTCCCCACAAAAACCCATTTTTTAAAGCTGAATTGGAACAAACATCAATTTGGGTTTTCCATGTTTGTTTGCTCCAAATGAGCCTTAAAGAGCAAATTTTAATGGGAAAAACTCCAGAGCAAAAAAGGCTCATTGACCTGTAGCTTTGTATTGTGGAGCGTGCCTGCAAAGAGTGGAGGAAAGGTGTGAATAAGCCCTAAATGGTCCACCGAAACCCATTGGGGAAATGCTTGTGCGAAACCCATGTGGGGAAATGCTTGTGCAAACAGTAGTATAAACTAAAGGCTACCTGGACTGTTTCATGTGGTTGGCTTTATCAAGCTTTATCCTTGCCCTCAATCCTTGTCCCATCAGTCCTCCATTGTCTCTGTGCAGAACCTAGCACCCTCTTTCCATGAATGAAATATCAAACTGCAGCAGTAATGACTTATTTCAGAAGGTGTGGCAGCAGAGCCACTTTGGTACTTGCACCTGTTGCTCTTGTTCCCCTGTAACAACACCCTTTGATGTGCTTTTCAGGGGGTGCCTATCCAGCTCCACACTCCATTCAGCTCTGAGCATGCAAAAGTCCCCATTGGCTCCATCGGCATGGGCCTTCCTCTGACCGTGGACCCCAAGAAGCTGGGTAAGACCCCATAATATTCCCCATTCCGTTGGACTGCAGGGGTGGGGCATGCAGCCGTCGGCACCAGAGCCACAGCTGGCAGCTGGAAGAGAGACTTCACAGTCAATGAATATTGAGAAATTACGGCAGGAAGCAGCCTGACAGCTGCCCCCACCCCCAGTCCACCCCTGTTCTGGCACTGTAACATGGCTGCATGATATGTTAATGTTTTCTAGTGCCTTTCCCCGGAGTGAAGCAGGAGCAGCTCTCTCCGCGGAGCCAGGCTGGCCAACCAGAAAGTTTAGTTGTGCAGACGTCGCAGGAGAACTCCGTCCTTCGGGGTGAGGCAGTGGCACTGTGCCGTCTGAGGTTCTTATTCCCTGGGCGGGGGTGTCACTTGCAGCGTCCCTCTCTGAAGCTGCCATGTGCAGTCTTGAGAGTTGCATCCCAGCATTTTTGATGGCGTTGCACAGGATTCTTGGAAACATGGGAGGCCGCCTTATGCTGAATTAGAACATCATCATCATTATTGCTATTATTTGTATACCAGCTTTCATCCAAAGATCCCAGAGTGGTTTACAACATAAAAATACAGAATAAAACCAGCAGCTCTCCAGGATTTCAGGCCAGAGCCTTGCCCTGCCTGCCTGGAGATGCTGGGCGTGAACTGGGGACCTTCTGCATGCAAAGCAGATAGACACTTCCCCACTGAGCTGCAGTCCTTCCCAATGTTTCTTCAGTGTCCTTGAAAACCTTGCTGCTCCAAGGAGCTGTTTGCATGGCTTATACAGCTGGGCGGACGCTGTTTCTGTCTGGCATACTGGACCAACAGTGGCCTTGCCTGCGTGCAACAGAAGAGTTCAAATAGGGAAATGTCCATGGCTAAGTTGTTTCTTCCTAAATGTCACCTCTGACCGTGTCCAGAAGTGCTCTAGAAACTGGCACATGTTAAAAGCAGGGGTGGGGCCGGGGGATCTCAGGCTTGGGGGCCAGTTGCAGCTCTCCGGGCCCCTGTCCTCTCCAGGCCACCCCCCTCACTGCCTCTGCTTCATTCCCCTGAGTGTATTCACATGTCTAGAATGGGCCCTTGAAGTCTTGGTTGCCTGAACGGGAGAGCAGAGAAGGGTGTGTAGAAACCAGAAATTTACACCCATTGCCCTGCCCCTTTTTACTTCTGGCCACGCCCACTGCTGGCATGTGGCCCTCAGGAGGTTGCCCAGGTGCTGATGCGGCCCTTAGGAAAAACTGGGGAAAGTTTCCCCACCCCTGTCTAAAAGCACCCCCCTATCCGCCAGCGCCTTCATTTGCAGTGCCTGGGCTTCCTCCAGGCTGGCGGCATTTTTGACATGGTTGTATCCTGCAGGAACATCCCTGGGCTCGTTGTCGGGAGGCAGCATCACGAAAGGCACGCCAAGCCCACGGCCGCCATCGGAGTCTCCCATCACGTATCGAGGATCCATCACACACGTAGGTCTCTTCTCTGCTTCCAGGGGTCAGTGGAAATTGGGTTGGAACTTCCTCAGGAGGCAAGCTTCCCTGAGAAAGCGCTTGTCCACCTCCCCTCTCCACCAGGGAGACCTGTGTACTTGAGTGCATTTCTCAGTTTGTGCAGAGAGGCTGCGGAGCCCAAGGGGCCCAGGTCAAGGCTGAACAACACATGGGAGATGGAAACCCTGAGGGTCATCTAGTCCAGCCCAATGTGAAAAGGCTTGAGAAGCCTGATAGAACAAAGTGATTTACTACCAAGGCATCAACCTTGCTGAAGGGCGCAGGGCAGGGAGGTGGATGTGTCAAGAGGGGCACCCCACAATCGTTCTAACTGCAACATTTAACTTGGTGCACTCTTGCCCCATAAGCTTAGGAGCAATGCTTTCTTGGCTGGAAGCTCTGCTTCTCTCGTGCCATCGGAGGGTAAATGCATCTATTTGTGGCCCAAACCAGATGCTTGGATTAGGCATAGGATGAAGTTCCATTCTTCGGAGCGTCTTCATGAAAAGGAACATTAGCAGGTTGTGTCCTAAGTAGGACTGGCTCAACTACAGTCTTTATAAACTGCCCTGTGAACTTCTATTGTTGGGTGGCCATGTAAATGACTAAAATAAATAAATCTCTCCCACCTTTCTCCATGTGAAACACCCAAGGCAGTTTACAACTTGATAAAATAATTTATTTCAGTTTTTAATTACATAATTTTTACTAGCAATATTGATATTCTAGGAATTGTTATTCCTTGGAAGTGCATGTGTAAATATATTTTTCCCCATGTTGCAATTATAAACCTCACAGTGACTTACTGAAGTGGACCTGGGTCTTCTTTTTATTATTCCTTATAAAGTTTCATTTATGTTCTGGAGAGGTACAACTTGAGCAGCACAAATGATAACCAGTTACTTGTACCAGGCTCTGCCCTCCCTCTCTGATTTATTGAAATACTGACAGTCTGAATTGGCACAGAAAGAGAACAATGCGTGTAACAGGCCCCCACCTACTCCCGGGTCCACCCCTGCCTTGTTAGCATGAGAAGTAGACTAGGCTCTGTGAGGAAATGCAAAAGGAACAAGGTGGGCAACGAGCCATTCTTTCACGGCTCTCTGGCTTTGGTCTGCCGCTAATGTGGGTAAAGGCTTGGCGGCTCCTAAAACCTCTCTCCCCAAATCAGTGTATCATTTAGTAGGCAAGGGAAACAGAGTGGGCTGCCAAATGGGTTGGGTCTTCTTCCAGGCGTTGTCCCTCGGACACACACACACACACACACACACACCCCAGAGAGATCCGACTGCCATCCGTCATCTCCGGCAGCAGAATCCCTGCCAAGTGGGTGATCACTTTGGGCTGCTGAGTTATTCCTTTATCTGGAAACCGAGCAGAGAGAATCCGTTTCCCTTAGAGATTTTTCGCTGGCTGGTGTTCAGATCTATAAAGCTGCTTTATAAACACTCTGGATTCCTCTGCCCTCACTTTGGGCTCCTTATCTGGGAAGGATAAATAAGAGCTCAGCTGCCGCTAGAAGGCCTGTCACTGGGAGATCCAGAACTGCACTCGCTCCGCCTCCTCAAACCAGGTGCCCCTCGGCTCTTCTGATGAGCTTGCTAGCAGGGGTGAAGCTGCTGCCCAAAACAAGCGGAGGGCACTGGGTTGCAGAAGATGGCAGAGGCAAATAATAATGGCTGAGGTTGGCTTCCTTTTAGTCTAATGCTGGTTTTAAAAAATACTGAAAACTGCGCATCAGCTCAAAACTATAGCAGTTGAAGTGCTTTAACCCCTTAATCGTTCACACCTAAAAGGTAAAGGACCCCTAACAGTTAAGTCCAGTCGCAGACAACTCTGGGGTTGCGGCGCTCATCTCGCTTTACTGGCTGGGGGAGCTTCCGGGTCATGTGGCCAGCATGACTAAGCCGCTTCTGGTGAAACCAGAGCAGTGCATGGAAATGGCATTTACCTTCCCACCGGAGCAGTACCTATTTATCTACTTGCACTTTGACGTGCTTTCAAACTGCTAGGTTGGCAGGAGCAGGGACCAAGCAACGAGAGCTCACCCCGTCGCGGGGATTTGAACCGCCGACCTTCTGATCGGCAAGTCCTAGGCTCTGTGGTTTAACCCACAGCGCCACCCGCATTAATCATTCACACCTACTGGTTCTTAAATTGCCAATGTCACACCCCAACCATTAAGATTTGCATTCAGTTTTAAATCCTATTGATCATATCTTACTTCCTCAAACTCAATGGGCTGACCAAGGATGGAGGATTTCTGTCCCATGTAGAACAACTCTGCCTTTGCAGGAGTGTGTGTGTGGGGGGGGGTACATCTGGGGCTCAGAACTGATCCTTTAATGGATGCTTAGACGTCACTTGCAAGGTGCTGACATTCACGATGCTGGTTTGGGCTAAGCACACTCGCTGGCTCCCTGCCTTGAGGCAGTCTTTAACAGTTCTACTCAGCTTGGGATGCCTGCCAGTCCTCTCTCTGTCTCTTTCTGTCATTCTCCCCCTCTCTTGGTAGCTCCCCCCTCCATTATCTTTCTCTCTGCTACTTCAGCTGCTGGAGGGGGGGGGGAGTAGCAAATTACTGTGCATCCCAAGTTGGAGTTGAAGGTGGTTGCTAATCTTTTCTGCAGCACTTAATGCTTTGCTACAGCACCTTAATGCAATAGAATTCCTTCACTGAACATTTTCTGTGCTTATTTTGCAGGCACATGTATATTTTGTTGGGTGAAATGAAGCCCCCATTGTGCTTCCAACTTCCCGATACATATATATCACATGTCCATGTAATGAAAGGCTTTGTGTTAGGCACTTAATACACATGGTGATTTATGTACATTTGCACACTGTTTCCTACACAGAAGGACTTTAGATTGGCAGTGCCCTCTTGCGCACAGTGCTGTGTGTGTGCACACCCACCCAACATCCTCCAGGGCTAATCATGGTTTCTTGTTGCTTGGCTGCGACAGCCAATACTACCCATTCATAAGCCGCATGTGCAGAATGCAGATGCTTAAAGGTGAGCTGTGTTCTCCACAGCCATCTGCCACCCCTCTCTTTTCAAATCCCCTCTGAGCACATCTGCTGTAAAGGGGAAGTTCAACTGAAGGTGTAGAAAGCTGCCACCAAATGTTTTCAGTCAAGCTGGGCTAACAGGCGTGGTACTGAAAACAGCGCCGTTGTGCCTCTTGCGCAGGAACAGCGCACTCCATTTACATTGAACAGGGAAGCTCTCAGAGCAACCTTCAGCGATGTGTTAAGAGCTGGATCACGATATTCTTGATTGCTTCTTTCTGGTTCTGTGTCTTGAGTCCTGGCGGGGCATTGTTCATCTCTTTCCGATCTCCATTCCTTTAGCCTTACCCCCTGGAGCCATCAGTTCTTTGTAAAGTTCTTTGTATGTTCTCCAAGCAACCATCCCAGTAGCTCAGCAATCCGCTCACCTGATATGTCTTCCTGAATCAAGGAGGGGTAGGATTAAAATACGTGGCCTAACTGCTGCCCCCCCCCAACAAATGCCACTTATACATAAGATTGCATTCTGGTAGTCTTCACTTACCTAGATTTGATGCCTGAAGAGGGCAAGGTGTGATCTCAAATCTGTGTCTGGGATTGTGAATAAGGAAGCAAGGGGTGTCTTTGTGGAATGTCCTTCCTTCTGCAACAGCCACAAGTATCTTTAGATAAGATTCAACCCTGTTTTTACATGATTGAGTCTTATGATTTCTGCTTTATTCACTTCTATATGGTTTTATGAGTTTTTATATTGCTGTGTTACTGGTTTAAGGTTGTGGTTCTGTTTTAATTATATACTGTTTGTATTTTAGACTATGCACTCATTAGAGATATTAAACGATATAGAAATGCTTTTAAATAAACAAGCAAATATTTTTCTAGAATACATCGGTAGATCATGAGACTTAATCTCATGGGTTTGAGCCCCACACTGGGGGGCAAAAGATTCCTGCATTGCAGGGGGCTGGACTAGATCAGTGTTTCTTAACCCTTTTCCAACCGTGACCCCTTTCTGACCTTGTTTCCTTCCTGTGGCCCCCTGTCCTACCGGTAGAAATGTTTTGTTTGTAAATAGAACATATTTTATTTATAATTTTTATAATGTATGCAAAATACAATTACATCAAAATTGATTTCTTAGTCAATGTGACCCTTGTGCTTGGTGACAAGAAAAAAGGCTTCTTTATATCTGGTTATATTGCTGTGAGGACAAGATCACCTCCTTTCACAGTAATACTTGCACAAAGAAACAGCCTCCCTCCCCCCCCACTAACCCTGCTGCACCCACACACCTTGCCCGTGACAAAGGAGATGCAGGCAGCCTGGAGTGCAAAATGAGAGGGAGAAGGAAGAGGAAGGGACGTTGCTGCAAAGTGCGCGTGGCGCTCCATCCACTGGGAAGCACGGTCACTTTCTCTTCACTCTACTCTGTTTTCTATTTTCTTCACTTCTCTGTTTTCTGTTTTCTTTTCTGTTTTCTTTTCTCAGTTACTTCTGTGTTTTCTTCACTTCTCACTTCCCACTGTGGCCCCCTAGTCTCGTGCCGTTGCCCCCCATATATGTGTTTTTCACCTGTGCCCCCCTTGGGCCAGCTCTGCAATTCTATGGTTCTGTGTGGTCCTTTTATTCCTTTCCCCAAATCAATAATTGCTAGGGAAGGTGGGCCTCAGGAGAACTTCCTCTAAGCACAACTCCTCTACTCTGTGCAAATTGTGGCTGGCGGTGGGTAGGATTAGAACTCAGTGGTAGAGCACATTCTTTGCATATCCCATGGCCCAGATTTTACTCTCAGCAACTCAGACAAAAGGCTCTCAGGCACCCAGACTGGGAAGGTGGCTGCAGCTGATGAGATTTGTAGTTCAAAGTATCTGGATGGCACCAGGTTGAGAACGACTGGAGGAGATAGCCAATGACCTGACTTAGCACACAGCAGATTCCTCTTTTAAGAGGCATTTGCTTCTACATATTCAAAGGTGTGTCCCAACTATGACTAATGGAAGCTGATTTTTGAAATGCACAAAGGCATAAATCCCCACTGGTCCCTTTCTACAATACAGAGGTTCAGGGTCAGTGCAGGGAGAAGGAAGAAATCAAAGAAACCTGGAGAGGTGTGGGTGTGCGTGGGTGTTGGCATCCATTTCAGCTTCACATACAGAAAGTCTACCGTACCAGGTCTCAGGCTTGCACCATCTTCTTGAATTGTGGTGCCTGTCATTTCCATCTTCCTCTCACCTTATCTCTTCCCAGCAACCTAAGATGAAACACTTGACTTCGCCACCCCCACCCCCCACTGTCCTGGACAAAACTCAGGCCACAGTTATTGTGCCCATCAATAATTACATACCTATAATTACATACTGTACATATCTATTGGTTGTGACAGCAAGTGGCATTGCAGGATGGAGTTTGCTTGTCTTTCTCCCCTTTGTCCAGCTTGCCTGTTGGAACAGTGTGTTCATCTGTGTGTGTGTGTGTGTGTGTGTGTGTGTGTGCGCGCGCGCGCGCACGCGCACACGCTCATATTCCCACTCTGCTTCTGCCTTAATTGTTTATGACACTGTTAAATATGGATCTTGGTCTCTTTCCAAGGGTACCCCAGCCGAAGTGCTGTACAAAGGAACCATTACCAGGATAATCGGAGAAGACAGCCCCAGCAGAGCGGAGAAAGTGAGAGAGGACGCCTTGCCCAAGGGACACGTCATTTACGAGGGGAAGAAGGGACATGTCCTGACCTACGATGGTGAGTCAAAATTCCTCTCTGGCACCACTTGTGAGAGAAGGCTTTGAATGACGGAGCCAGTAGCATCCCTTGAAAATGAGGCAGAATATGTTATATAGGAGTGGCAAAGGGGTTAGTAATATCAGCCCAGCTCAGACACAACACCAAGGTGTGCTTGAGTTTCTTGCTCAAACCCTCCCTTCTCCCTCAACTAGTGCTATAAGAGGAGATTGGAAGTTTCTGCTTCCAGTTAAAATTATAACTTTGGTTTGGATTTGACATCCCGCTTTATCACTACCCGAAGAAGTCTCAAAGCGGCTAACATTCTCCTTTCCCTTCCTTCCCCACAACAAACACTCTGTGAGGTCAGCGGGGCTGAGAGACTTCAGAGAAGTGTGACTGGCCCAAGGTCACCCAGCAGCTGCATGTGGAGGAGCAGAGACGCGAACCCGGTTCGCCAGATTACGAATCTACCGCTCTTAACCACTACACCACACTGGCTCTCACCACACTGGTTTGTCAGTATATCTGGCAAAGACAAACTGGCGTTTTTTAAAGTATTGTTTATTCAAACAAACCAAGATCAAACCATGGTTTCCAATCCCAACTTATTTCAATACACCATGGTTTAGAGACTAACCACATTTCCCGGTTCAGACATATCAACAGACTGTATTTCATTTAAACCAGGGAGAGATTGTTTCCAATCTGCTCATAAGGCTATTGTTGTGGTTTAGTGTTATCTCTGAATCAGAACAATGTGTTTCTTTGGAGAACCTATTGACATACCCATCACAGAGAAGCCCCTTCCAAGGACGGGAGAGAAACCTTTGGGGCCTAGTGTGCCTACATGGCTTTGTTTTCAGAAAGCTTAGCAGTCATTTGAGCATGTGTATTTCCTGCCTCTTTCCTCTTTGACTGTATTTTGAAGCAGACCACAAAGGAGCCCAGCAGGTCAGAAGCAGCAGAGGGAATTAATCAAACCTCACCTAGCAGGCTGCAGTGTGGGGGCAGATGGGCCACGGGAACCTCTCCTGCCCACTTGTTTCGCATGCTTCCATTAAGCTGCAAAAGGTAGAGAGAACAGTCCTGTGGTCACCAGGCATAGCAGGATTGCCTGCTTCCCTATAAACCTGCTGACAGGCCTTGTAAGGTCATGCCTAATGGAAGTCCTTTACAAGAGCCAGAGGCAAGTATAGTTCTGGTCAGAGTGAAGCCAGGGCAGTGAACGAATATTTGCCCCAGTTGGCAGAATACTCGATGAATGGGATAAACCTTGCAGGCCATATTTTGGGCCCAACAGTGTGAGTGCAAGGGCTGCAGAATATGCAGATTGGCAGTGGTGTGTGATGTCACGTGCCTTGCCTGCCCTGGCAGCGTGGCAAGATGCAACTGTGATTTCGTGAATATCTGTTTTAATGGACTGCATCGCTTTTTGTGCTGATCACAGTTGAGAGGTAAGAGCCAGATCCTAATCTGTGTTGCCCCATATGCCCTTCTGCATCTCTCTCACAAATCAGCAGCTGCACCATGCCTATAAGTTACACATCACTCCGAATGGATGGCTTCCTTTCCCAGTAACATTTTTCCATCTGCCTCCACTTGTCTTTGCTACAGAGCTAAAGCCAGGCCATGTGAACAGCACTGCCATGTTGGCTGCCAAAGGAGAAGGGTCAGCTTTTAGACCTTTGCTCTGGGCTCGTCTCCTCACCTGGAGAAGAGGATTATCAAGGGTCCTAATAATGTCTGAGCATTTTTTTCCCTTTTTCTTCTTTTGCTCCAGAGCTTTCCCTGCAAAAACCAACTTTTTAAAGCTGAATCGGAGCAAACAGTTATCCACAGAGAACCTGAATTGACATTTGCTCTGATTCAGCTTTGAGCGGGATTTCGTGGAGAAAGCTCAGGCAAAAAACCAAAACCCAACCCACAACCACTCAGACATGGAGCATGAAAGTGAAGACCTCTGCCTGGAAAGAGCAGGGCAAAGTAATTGTGGATAAGCATTTAAAGTATGCCTCACTCTCTTTTCAGGGCAATTCTTGGCATCATGTATAAGGCATCTTTTCTTCCTCTTCCTTTCTTGCCTTTTAACTTTTTCCCAAGCAGATAGCAAGTGTTGAACAAAAGACTTGGCCAAGAGTTACCCAAAAATCTCTTGGCAGAGTCAACATGGATAAAAACAGTTTAGGCATCTTTCCTGGTGGGTGGTTTTTGCTGAAACAAGGGTGAGTAACACCAGCCTGTTGGGCCACATGGACACTGGCTCTTCAGAGGAAGAAAATCTCAGTTGGATTTTTAAAAAGAAAAACACTGAAATCTGAAAGTCCTCTTTGGAATTTTAGCAAAGTCTGTAAGGACGGAAGTGTCGAATCGAGAAGCTTAAAAATAAATAAATCTGTGATTGAGTTCTGGTGGACAGGAAGGGGGGAGCACTGTCAACACATTGATGCCACAGTGATACTTGCCAAGAAAAGAGCTCTAATGAGGCAAAAGCTTACAGCGTCTGTAAGCTGAATTGCAGAAGATTGGTTATTCTTATTGCTAATAGCTCTTCTGTGGGGAAGGGAAATGTTTACAAAATCCTTTTCTTTCTCTTTTTGCCCCCCTTTCCCATAAACATGCTGGGGAGCAGAGGGAGAAAAGAGGAGCACAGATGTTTGTTGAGGACAGGATGTAGGAATGCACATACACACCCCGCGTGTTTCAAAGCTCAGCTCCTTTAAACTCTGACTGCATGACTTGAGCCTGTTAAAAGCAGGAAGAATTTGCAACTGGGGCAGAAATTTCATTTTTATGACCCCCAAATAGCTTACTTCCACACACCCATATCTTGTTTGGTTGCTGGGTGAGAGGGGAAGCAAAGGGTGGTATTCAGTACCAGCCCAGCTCAGAGTAACCTTCACTCTGATGGACCAGTGGCTTGACTCAGGGACACTTTCCTTCATTTCAGTGTTCCTATGATGTAATGGTGTGCACTCTTGTTATGCCACACATGCGAACACATGGCCCCTTTCAGTAGCTAGTGCAGAAAAAATCTATACAGCTTTTTCCACTTGGGAGGAGTTTTTAGAGTGGTTTTCAAGGTTTGCTTGGGGTTACCACTGCTGGGTCTCTGCCAATCGTCTCTCGTAAGATGGATAAAGACTGTAGTACCATCTGTGCAGCAAATCTGAACTTCTATAAATAAGAATGGTTGTCTGAATTGGTCTCACGGAAGGGAAGCAAAGAGTTCGGAACTTGTACAGAGATAAGATTCACTTGCATGAGGTTTGGATAGCAGGCGCAGCAGATGTCTTGCTATCATTCTGGTCTCTGGCTGCACAGCATGTTCCCGGCACTGGCCTCTGTCTTTGTAGTCCCCCCCCTTTGTTCTGCTATTTTTCCTCCTCAGATTTCTTCCTTCAGCTTTTTAAGCTTGGAGCGTTGTAGCCCATCTGTTGGTTCAAATTTGGGGGTGGAGGGGGAGAAAGGCAGGTTCCCCCTTTGCGTTCAGGTTGATATGGAGTGGTTCTGAGTTGTCTTTTCTCCACAGATTGATGAGCAGTATGCGGGGGTTGGGGAGATCTTAAAGGAGTACATAAAGAAAATAAGGGAGGGCCACTATATTCACAAAGGGCTCGTTCTAGAGAAGAAAGCAAAGGCGAAGGCAAATTCTGCCAGGCCTGGACTTGACTTGCAGTGTTCTGCTGGCTAGAGACGGGCACTAGGGAAGTTTGGGGGTGAGTCTAAGCACAAGGCCACCAAATTTGGAATTGCAAGTTGGGAGGGAAAACATGACTTGGTTCCCGGGAATTGACTCCAAATTGGAATGTTTACAAAAGCTGCTGAGTTATGTTGGACTGAGGCCTCGGAGACTCGCCTTGGCCAAGGTCCTGCCTTAAGCATGAGCCGCAGTCTTGCAATCTTTCAGCTGGACGTTCATGCATCTCTTATTTTGCTTTGTTTTATCACTCCCCCTTCAGGTGGTGCTGTTGCACAGTGTCCCAAAGAGAACAGCAGAAACTCTGGAGTCCCACACGAGGCCATGGGCATCAAACGGACCTATGACATGATGGAAGGGAGAGGATCACGGGGTTTATCTGGGCGTGAGCTTCCATCTGCTAGTATCGAAGGTGGGCTTTCACAAACAATGTTTCATATAGTCAAGTCAAATTTGTACTGCTTGTCATCAGTTGCCCTTGCCGTGTTTTGGAAGGGGTGTAATGACAGGGCCCACAGGTTGCGTGGAGAAGGACCCAAGTTCAGTCCCTTACATCTCCAATTAAAATGATCACTGGGTAGCAGGTGACTGGGAAAACCCTCTCTGAGACCCTGGAGTGCTGTTGACAGTCACAGTAGACAGTATGGGTTAGATGGACCAGTGGCCGGTCTCCATTTAAGGCAGCTTTGTCCATTCATATGTACTCTCTCCAGTGCATCAGGCTTCCAATAAAGGTGGCTGATGCCTTCTTCTCTGATGGCGGCATACGGACCACTCCATCCAAACATTCAGCGTTATGCATCTGTGTCCTTTAATCTGGTGCTGCTTTCTGTCTCTCGGGATTTATTTCATTCCTCTTGTTTCCTTTCATCTAAAATCAACCATTCAGAACGAAAGGGGAAGGGTTGGAGGAGAATGTTAATTTGGACATCCTACACAATAAGCCTCCATGCACATCAAACAAGCTGGGAATGCTTTATTGACCCTCAAGAGAAATCTGCTATCCATAAGACCTGAATATAACATCCCTGTTGATCTTGGGTTACCTATTTCCTTATTTCAGCTTGCGAAAAGACTGAAGAATCTCAATCAATTTTTAACTCTTATTTTGTAAGCTGGAATTTGCAGTCCCAAGATTTGTGTTTATTTATTAGTAAGCATTCTTGCCCACCCTTCACCATTAGGTTCCATGGCAGAATAGAGAAATAGAAAATAAAAACAAATAAAAGAATTGCAGTGATATAATACATCAAAACCTTGAATGCATGCAAGGAAATGCATGTTAACAATGTGATTACATGGGCAATGTGTCTTTCCCAGTCCTAGTTAGGCCACTGGTGGAAGGACACCAGCTGCCCTGCCCTTCTTCTTGTTGGCATCCATCTGTCTCGAGACAATGGAGTGTGCCTCCAGGGGTGAAGTCAAACTGCTGTGTTAGCATCACTGAAGTGACCTGCTCAGTGCACAAGCCTGGGCAGTGTGTCTGGAGGTTCTGGGCTGCCCATATGGCAAGCCTTGTTGATGTGGTCCAAAGGAGATCAGAGCAAGAAGTTGGGCGCCAGCTTGGCTGCAGGAGTTGCTGGAAGGAGGTGTACAAGGCACCATCCAACCATTTTAGGGACTCCCCTCCAGATTTGTGTAGGATTAGCCTTTTCCTCTCCTGAAGATAGCCCACAAGGCAGCAAAGGTTTAGGATCAGAGTTTTCCTTCTCCTAGATGGGCTCCCTTCCCAGGTGGACGAGTCCCATCTCCCCCTCACTTCCCTCTGTGGCACATGCAGAAACTGCTTTATTGACCACTGGACCCACTTTTGGCCCTGTGCTTATGGCTAAGTTATTTACGTGTGTTCCCTTGCACCTTGTGAAAGAGGCCTCTGTGCTGCTGGGGACCTTTGTGAAGGGGACCCCTGCATTTCCTCATAATTAGAAGCAAGGTGCCTGTGTGCAGGTCTTCAAAATTTGCTTGTGGTGCTTTCATGTGCTTAATAATGAGTGAGTCGGGTGGGGGCAGGAGACAGAAAGTAATAAAGGAACAAGCTGCAACTCCACGTTTGCCAGCCAGGTGCTTTCTAGATTCTTTGGCATGTGACTTTCATCTGCCCCTGCCAACAGGACCTAGAGGGCACCAGTTTGGAGACAGCTGGGGGAGTTTCCAAATTACAGTCCAATGAAAATGAAAAAGAAACACAGTTCCTGCATTCCAGTTCTGCTGTCTGGCTTTTTGGTTATAGAAACTCTAGAAGTTCTCAGAGTGAACCGAGGAGCATAAAAAGTGCACATTTTGAAATGTCTTAATATGTTTCTTCTTTTGTGTGGGGCAACTCTAGGTCTAATGGGACGAGCCATCCCACCCGACCGCCACAGTCCCCTCAATTTGAAAGAACCGCATCACATCCGGGGCTCTATCACGCAAGGTAATGTGTAGCAAAGGGAGCGTGGAAATCTAACCTGGGGGCAGAACTTGTCAGCCTGTCATGCTGATAATCTCCTTTCTAATCCTAATTCAGTAGTTGTTTACTTTTCTGGCAACTGTTTTGGGTCAGGCAGTAGGTTGTCTGTCAGCCAAATCCAGCCTTCTGCCTGTGACAGCTGAATAATCTCTTCAGGAGGATGTGGGAGTTTGTGGGAAGTTCTGGGAGGAAAGGGATTCAGGAGACACAAAGGGGGAGTGCAGCTGGTATGAGTTGCACTCACCCTGCATGTTTCCCGAATCCCCTTCCTCCCATAATAAAGCAGTGTGCCAATGTGGGGCTTTCAGGCTCAGGAGGCTATAAATACAATGTGAGAGTAAGGGGAAGAGGACTTTCTTCTCTGTCCCAGTCATGTGAAGACACTTTAAAGGGCTGTGCATAAATTTGGCATTGGGGTGGAGTCAATCTCGTGACAGCCTCACCACAGTCTGACCTGCAGAGTAATTCAAGTCAGTTCTGTGAGCTAGAAAAGACTGTGTAATGATGTTGGTCTTTGGGCTGTGCTATCAAATTAGGCCTGGAAATTTTCATGGCATGTTTAGTGTTCTATTTTGTTTGTTGCCCACAGGGCTGCGCTTTGGCCTCTGGTCTTCAAGTATGGTCCTTTTTGCAAATGAACTGAATTAGTTGAGTTGAAAATTGTGTGATGTGCTTCATCTGGAGGACAAAAGAGAGAATTGCAGAAGTTACTTTTCTGTAGGAAGCCCATTGATGGATTCTGTCTTTTGGTATGTTCCCCCAGGAATACCTCGATCTTACGTGGAAGCCTCCGAGGACTACCTCAGAAGAGAAGCTAAGCAGCTCAAGAGGGAAAGCACACCTCCGAGGGACTTATCCGAGGCCTACAAGGTCAGGCCTCATGAGAGCTTTACCCCGTTGAAAATGAAAGCAGTTCATGAAGGCCTTGTTGCCACTGTGAAGGAAGCAGGAAGGTCAATCCATGAGATTCCCAGGGAGGAGCTGAGGCGCACGCCTGACATCTCTCTGATGACGAGGCCTGTGAAGGAGGGCTCTATTACCCAGGTATCCACACGGTCCACAACAGAGAGGCACTGGGGTAGGGAGGATGCTAAGACACAAGTGTCCTTCTCTGCTCAGTTGCTTAGGAGCTCCTGCTGTGTGTAACTAGAGGCAGAGATTGGAATTGTCCACTTCCTGATGTTCTGGTCCTGCAAACGAGCCCAGGAGGCAAGGCAGCACACCAGGCTGGTTGTCTCAGCGCTATGGAGAACTCCTAGTGAGCAGGTTCTTCCAGGGAGGGTTGGTGGTGAACTAAGGCCTTCTGGGCCTCTGCCTCTGTCCCATCTCTCCTATGCTGTACACTCCTTCTGGGAGAACTAGAATCTTGCTTAGGGTCAAGCTGTAAGTTTTTGTTTGGGCTGCGAATATTTCCATCCTAGGACTTTTGGGTGGATATAAATACTTTAAATAATAAATACATTAACACTCTGACCTGAGGTTGGGCACTCATCCTGCACTCTTATGACCTTCAGCCTATAGCATTGGACTGGCAAGGTGGTGTGGGAGGCACTAGTTTGCTCAGGCCTAGGGGGAAGTGCCCATGGGGGTCCAGTTTTAGGGGCCCTGGTGCTGTGGGATCTGCAGTCAGTAGCACTATAGCTTCTGACTTGGGGTTCTGGTCAGTGGTGAACCCCATGGGGGTCTTGACATCTGCTTTAAAATAACCACTCTTCGTCATTGCTTCGTCATGCTGTATTGTTTTTAACACTTGATTGGAAGCCGCCCAGAGTGGCTGGGGAAACTCAGCCAGATGGGGGGGATAAATAATAAATTATTATTATTATTATTATTATTATTATTATTATTATTATTATTATTACTGCTTCCAAACAGAGGGTGACAGTTAGTTAAAACAAGCCAGGATAGGAAGCCACTGATTTATCTCAGCACTGCACCTAAAATTGGGTCATAGAGTTGTTCCAAGGCTACAAAGTGAGAGCATGGCCATAGAGTGATTTGAACCCAGGTCTTGCTCTTTAGTTCTCCTAGTTGAGCCTCTGCTACAAGTTTCAAGTAAAATACCCAAGCAGATCCAGATTCATTTAATGATGAGTCAGCTTTTGGCTCATGTCTCCTGCGTGGGCTGATAAAATATTTGGATGGTTTCCATAGCAGCCCTCAGTGAGGGCTGTTTACAAATCTGCTTTGTTCCCATGGAGAGATGAGGTGGGTATGTCGATATTCCTTGAGAGTGACTAACCACTTTACCTCATGCCACGTTTTTGGGATGTGTGAATTAAGCATCCTGCCTCAAATGGTTCCACCTGTTGTTATACAGAGCTGATTGTTTCCCCTTGGGAGAGGTGTCTCATTTAATGACCCAGGAGCACCCTTTGCTCCCAGGCCAGCAGATCTATGGTTTTGCCTAGCAGTCCCTCTCGCCACTCCCTGCCAATCACACATTATGTCCTGCCCTAGAGGAAGAATGAAATATATGTCCTCCTCTTCTTAATACTAAGGTTTCTGCTTACTTTATTGGTAGCTAATGGTGAATAAACCTATTGGTTGGTATAAATCATTCAGGTGGTAAGTGACCACCAGTTGTGAGGTAGAGTGGTGATTTCAGTGTTCCTAGTCATGGATTCCTCACTGGGCATCTTTCCTTCAAAGCCAGTTTGACCATTGCTTCTGATCTTTCCTTGAAACGTGGAGCTGTAGGAGAAACGTTGAATGTGTTTTTAGGTCCATTCTCAATTCATATGACATGATCATGGGGCCCAATGTGCTTGGTCTTTCATCTGCATAAGCGGATGCTCAATACAGATATCACACCAAACCATGGTTTGTGCTCACCATAGTTTAGAACCCAAGCCATAGTTTGAGCTTCCAAATGTACAGGGAAACCAGGGCATTCCACTTGCTGTGATAACAGTGTGTTAATTTATGCATCTTGATCATACCAAATTAGTTAGCTCAAACCATGGTTTGTCATTTCAAACATCAAGTCAAAGCAGAGTTTGTTTATTGCAGGTATTCAGTGCTTTTTTCCTGGGGGGACGCAGCAGTACGCATACCCCTAAACATTTTGTGAATCTAAGTTTGGCCTCATTGAGGGGAAGTATTTCAGTATGAGTAGGAAAATGAGAGTACCCCTAAACATTTTTTACTAAAAAAGCACTGCAGGTATTTATACCTTTAGCCAGAAAGGCTCATAGACTCACTAACAAAAGCCAGTAGTGGGATAGTCCTGGCCCTCAATAAGCCTTTTTAAGCCTTTCGGTCTTAACAAACAAACAAACAAACATCTTAGGAGAAGGGAATAGAGGGTTGAACTTCCTTAACCATTGTTTGGTGTGACATGTTCTTGTGGTTTGGTTTCTGTAGGGCTCCGGAGATATATTTGTTTTAAATGTCGCAATGGTTTTGCGGCTCCCAGTTGTTGTTTTTTCTTCGGAAACGGGTCCAAGTGGCTCTTTTTGTCTTAAAGGTTGCAGACCCCTGCTGTAGCCAATGCTTTGGTGCAATGAACTTACTGTATAGAACTATCTTTCTCAACCTTGGGTCCCCAGATGTTCTTGAACTACAGTTTGTATCATCCCTGATCACTGGCCATGCTGGCTAGAATTGATGGGAGTTGTAGTCCCGAAAACATCTAGGGACCCAAGGTTGAGAAAGGCTGGGCTAGAAGATGTACCAGAATCCTCTGCAACGTGACAGGTAATAGGGGTTCCATAGCAATGAAGTTAGTGCGGGAAAGTGTTCCCAGAAAGTGAAAAATTTGAAAACAGATGGGAAAGAGCATCCAAAGGAAGGTGATGCTATCTATCTATCTATCTATCTATCTATTTATTTATTTATTTATTTATTTATTACATACATACATACATACATACATACATAAATTTTATTATGCTCTTTAGCCAAAATGGGCTCCCAGATTGCTAAAAAAAGATAACCCCTGCCCTCAAGCTTACAACATGACACAAAAGAAAATGCATTATTGAAGGAGTAGGAGATAAACAAACTTTGGTACAAGTTCTTCTGATGACCAATTGGGGTGGAAAAGTTCATGGAGAGGAGGCACCAGAAGCTTCTGGTCTCTGCACTGTTGCCAGGGCAGCTGACCTGACATCCGTTCTCTTCCCTCCATTGCCAAGGCCTGGTGGAATGGCGGCTACCAGGGGACAGCAGTTGGTGGAGAGGGAAGCCTGACTTCTCAGCAGAGCAAGTGGCAGCCCTGCATCCCATCCCATCCCTCCTCTGCTATAACCCGGTGGCCTCAATTTTCATACAGACTTGGCAAACTGCAAATGGGAATTAACTGACAAAAGAAACGAATCAGTGTGCCTCCCCCCCCCCTTTCATCTGTCGAAGCGAAGCCTAGAATGCCAGGGGCAGCCTCAGAAAGCCATTTGTGACCTTCCGTGCTGCTGTCCTTTTCCTGCCAGCTTGCTGACCTTTCTCTCTTGTCTCCCACCTTGTCCCCCCAGGGAACCCCGCTGAAATATGACAGCAACGCTTCGGCAAGTGCCAAAAAGCATGATGTCCGTTCCATTATTGGAAGCCCGGGGAGGACTTTTCATCCCCTGCATTCCCTGGATGTCATGCAGGACCCAAGGACTCTGGAAAGAGCTTACGGGGAGAGTTTGAAAAGTGCTTACGAGGAGAGTTTGCAAAGCAGGCCCAGCCCAGTGACAAACTCTGGCGGCTCCATCACCAGAGGAGCCCCTGTGATCGTGCCTGAAGCAGGGAAGCCTCGCCACAGCCCTCTTGCCTATGAGGACCACCAGGCAGCCCATGGGACGGCTTTCAGCAGTCACTTGCACCGAGGGTCCCCAGTCTCCACGAGGGAGCCAAGCGCGCGGCAGCATGAAGGTCAGTGGTCCTGTTTTGCAGGCTGTGGATTAGGGGGCTTCTTCAGGTTGTACGTTTCAGGCTGGTTGTGAGGCACCGGAACCAGGGACATGTCCAGGGATGAGCTTATGGGGCACAGGCCCCAGACATCCTTTTAAGAGCCCTGAATGTTTCTTGGTTAATATTGAATTCAAGGAGAATTGAACCAGAGGTAATTAGGTTTACAGGGTAGGATATTTGGGGAAATAAATTAACTAATTATGGCTTAGGGGGTAACAAATGGGGGTAATTGAAGGAAATTCAATTTATCTGGAGCAGGGTTGTTCGGGACATTAATTGGGGTAAATGAATGAAAAAGGTACTGGTTTTGGTACTGTGGTGCAGTGCAGATTAATTGAATAGCTTATCTGGGGTGATTTGAACGAGGAATTAGTTAGCATACATCCTTCTGTGGCATTTAAGTCCAGGCATTAAAGCCCAAGTTTGCATGTATACATATTTAATTAGCATATGCAAATCAGCAGTAGCTCTGGGCGGGACCCAGTATGTTACTGTCCATACCACCATGATAACTTTCAAGAGGAAAGTTGTCCCTTTTGCTGCTGCTGCTTTTTAGCAGTGTTTGGCCAGCGGGGGGGGGGGGTCGCTGCAGATTCCACCTGCTTTTGAGGAAGCTGTCGGTCATATTGGAAGAGCCGGCTTCTACTCCCAGAGTTGCATGATCCACTTCTGCAGAAACAGGGAGACTTCATTATGTCATCCTATTTTTTTCTTCCAGACTTGACCAATGCATTTGAAAAAGATGAGCACGGTTATTCTCCCTACAAATACAGTCTTTATGCCTATTAGTTTGTGACACCCCCCTTGCCTTAAGAGAATCAACATATTTGTTAAATGAAGTATCTTGTTCATTTCTAAGAACAGAAGATTCTCTTGGCTGGCCTTTATGAAATGTACACATATGGCCAGCCCTCTGCAAGCAAGATTCCAGGGCAGATTGTAGCCAAGAGGTTTGGAGGATTCCCAGTTTTAAACTTGTTTTAAATTCCAGGCCAGGGGTGTAATTTAGCAAGAATGTAGAATTTGGGGGTGACTTTGAAAGCAAATATGAACTCTTTCTCTGGAAATAATTACTATATTTCTAAAGATGTACTGATGTGCTGCTTATGCTAGGAATGAGGAACCATTTACCTTCCTGATGTTGTTGGACTCACAACAGTCCCAACCAGCCAGAGGTCAGGGGTGCTGAGGGCAGCAGCTGAAGGAGGAGCAAAAGGGTTTTCTTGTGTGTGTGTTTCTTTGTGGCTGATTAGCTGCTCTCCCTGTGCAAAGGTCAGAGGGGGCAGGGTTTCCGTTGAGTCAGGTGATTAGCTGTGGGAGGAGCTTATCAGAGCTTGCAGGGCAGCGGCGCGTCTGGCGGCGCACGCAGTTTGATCCATCTTTTAGATTTAGGGGAGCTAGTCTCAAACGTTTGTTGGGGGAGACCTAGGTTTTTTTGGGGGGGTTATTTGTCCTGTCTTCACGCTTTTTAAGATGGAGGACCACTGTAGGCACACCCAACGACACGTTTTCAAGATGGAGGGTGAGGGAACAGCTGCAGTCGCCTGCGGTTCCTGCGCAATGTTTGCCATCTTGCCAAAGGTTGCAGGCAGCTTTACCTGCAGCAATTGTATGTTGATTGCCCTCTTAGAAGACTAAAGTCCAGCAACTGGAGGAACGTGTAGCTACGCTCCAAAGAATTAGAGAGCTGGAGCTCTTCTTGGAAGCAACAGAGAACACCATCTCCACCAAGGAGGAGACAGGGGACACCCCTGAGAAGGAGGCTAGTTCACCAACACAGGTGCCAGATATATGGAGAAACGTGACTCAAAGAAGTAGGAGGCCCAGGGTTCGCTCTGATTGTTTAGAAATACACAGTCGCTTTGAAGTCCTCTCCCCTAGCATGGAAGACGAAGAACAGACTCCATTTGAGGATCTCTCCCTCATTACAGTCGATCAGGTATATGAAGACGAGCAGCAAAGTCAGTCCTCAGGGAATGTGCAGGCGACCTTGGAACGGACAGCTCACGGAAGAACCCCGACCAAACCTAAGAGGAGGCGTGTAGTGGTGATAGGCGATTCTCTACTGAGGGGAACAGAAGCAGTGATCTGTGGGCCTGACAAGATGTCTCGGGAGGTGTGCTGTCTCCCCGGGGCTAAGATCCAAGATGTAACTGAACGACTGCAAAGAATCATAAAACCCACTGACAAATACCCCTTCCTCTTGGTTATGTGGGAACCAATGACACTGCAAGCAATAGAAAGGAGGAGGAGTGGTGTTATATGTCAGGGATGTGTATACCTGTGAAGAGATCCAAGATTTAGAACCTCAAAGCCAAAGTGAGAGCATTTGGGTCAAAATTAAGGGAGAGAAGAATAACAGAGACCTCATTTGTGGGAGTTTACTATAGATCCCCAAGCCAAACGGAGGACATAGATGATGCCTTCCTGGAACAGATGGCCAAGCATGCAAAAGGAAGGGAGATAGTAGTAATGGGGGACTTCAGTTACCCGGATATTTGTTGGATGTCAAACTCAGCCAAGAGCATAAGGTCAAACAGATTCCTCACTGGCCTTGCAGACAACTTCATTGTCCAGAAAGTGGGAGAAGCAACAAGAGGAACAGCCATTTTAGATCTGGTCCTAACCAATGTTGATGACCTGGTTAGTGGGGTAGAAGTGGAAGGATCATTAGGCGCGAGTGATCATGCTCTTCTGAAGTTTACTATACAGCGGAAAGGAGCAGCCAAGCATACTAGGACTCAATTTCTCGACTTTAAGAAAGCCGACTTCATAAAACTTAGGGAAGTGCTGGGTGAGATCCCATGGACAGTAATACTAAAAGGAAAGAGAGTTCATGATGGCTGGGAGTTTGTTAAGAGGGAGATAGTAAAAGCACAACGTCAGGCAATACCAATGAGACGGAAACATGGAAGGTGCCTAAAGAAGCCAGGGTGGCTATCTAAAGAACTTTTAACTGAGTTAAGATTAAAAAAGGATGTGTACAAAAAATGGAAAAGGGGGGAAACCACCAAAGAGGAATTCAAACAAATAGCCAGCACGTGTAGACACCAAGTCAGAAAAGCTAAAGCACAAAATGAACTCAGGCTTGCTAGAGAGGTTAAAAGCAACAAAAAAGGCTTTTATGGGTATGTTCGTAGCAAAAGGAAGAACAAAGAAACAGTGGGGTCACTCAGAGGAGAAGATGGTGAAATGCAAACAGGGGACACAGAAAGGGCTGAACTCCTCAATGCCTTCTTTGCCTCAGTCTTCTCCGATAAAGAAAACAATGCCCGACCTGAAGAATTTGGAGCAAATGATTCAGCAGAGGAAACACAGCCCAGAATAACTAAGGAGATAGTACAAGAATACTTGGCTAGTCTAGATGTATTCAAGTCTCCAGGGCCAGATGAACTGCATCCAAGAGTATTAAAAGAACTGGCAGATGTGATTTCAGAACCACTGGCAGTCATCTTTGAGAATTCCTGGAGAACAGGCGAAGTCCCGGCAGACTGGAGGAGGGCAAATGTTGTCCCTATTTTCAAAAAGGGGAAAAGAGAGGACCCAAATAATTACCGCCCAGTCAGTCTGACATCAATACCAGGGAAGATTCTGGAGCAGATCATTAAGCAAACAGTCTGTGAGCACCTAGAAAGGAATGCTGTGATCACCAATAGTCAGCATGGATTTCTGAAAAATAAGTCATGTCAGACTAACCTGATCTCGTTTTGGAGTAGATCTGGAAGATGCAACTAGTGCAGAATGCAGCAACCAGAGGGCCGATGGAGACGTCTGGGTCGAATCCATGGAATGGCAGTGGTTACCAATTTGATTCCAAGCCCATAGATGCCTATGTTGCACTACATAACTTGTGATTCAATATCTCAAGCAGTGGCTCCTTCCATATGAACTGTCTCTGAGTTACGATCAGTGATCCCGCTGCCAGGAGAAATCTAGGTAGAGGGGTGTCAGCATGTGAGCAAGCCTTCTCTCTGAGGTGCATTGAGCACAGATACTGTTAATTTTTCATTGGCAGCAAAAGAAGCAGCTATTTCCCCAGGTCTTCAGGAGGGATTGACATTTGGAACCACTTGGATAATTTCATCACCTGCTCTTATATCCTTCAGGCGTGCCTGTTCTATTATTGTAATATTTTATAGTGTTGGTTGATCATTTGATGACCTTGTGATTTGTTTGTGCTGTGAGGCCGTAGAGTGAAGGGTAGTCTATAAATAAGTCAAATGAACAATAAATAAAGCAAGCATTGGTGTACAACCTATTCTGGGCCTGTTGCAGCTGTGGCCACGATAAACGATGTGTTTGTATGACTGCAGAACCCAAACTGTTCTCATCGGGCAGATCCAGGTCACACTCCAGGCTTTGTTTTAAACTGGTTCAGATAAGAGCAGGTTTGGGAAATGGGCACAGTTCCTTTCAGTCTCAAATAAGCTCTTTTTGCTTTGTTCAGTCCAGAACAGGAGGGGCTGGCAAGGCAAGTATTTAAACGTTGAGGTGCCATTGCCAAATGAGAAGGAAAATGTAAAGAGCCTGTCATCTTTCCAGCTGCAAGTTGCAAAAATGCTTCCAGCTCCCCAGGAGAGGAGGAGGGTGTCAGCCTCATCTGGCCTTCGATTTCACCTTGCATGTTTTTAATTCTTTCCATGGTTGCGCTCTCTCTCTCTCTCTCTCTCTCTCTCTCTCTCTCACACACACACACACACACATACACACTCTTTCATTTTCACATTAACCTATTGTCTGCTGACAGAATATATAAGGCAAGGGTACATTCAGTGTACGCTTTCCTTAGATGCTTACAGAATCATTCCCCATGCTCTTTTTAAACCTACTAGATCTTCTAGCTCCATACTTTCTGCCAAAAGAACAAAAGCCAAATCCCAGCCCTCACTGATCTGTGCCACTTCCCCCCTTGGCTTCTCTGTGTCTCCTTTCCCCATGGCCGATGTAAATGGTTTGCACGT